CCTCCCCACCCATCTCAAGTGCCTTACAGTAATGAAGAGTTTATCATTGCTGCTGCTACACTTTTCCTCACTTGTTTCTTAAGTGCTTTTCAGTTGTAGTTTTGTCGCTCCTCTACATTTCTTTCTTTTTTTTTTTTGTCCAGATCCCATACTGAAAATAGAGATGTACTGTGCCTTATGGACAAGCTGTTCTTGTAATAGAGGAGGAAGAACAAACAAAAGCACACAATACATCCTGCAGCTTTTGCACACAACCAGCATATTCTCATTTTACTCACATCAGTAGAACAAAACACATAACCTGTGCTAGCACCTTGCCATGGAGGTTAAGGAGTCTACAGACTCCTACCATAGTTACGCAGTGCAAGTTGCATTATTAATAGTAGAAATGGATGAGGAAACCTCAGCAGATCATAGAAAAAAATGAAATTTAAATATAACTTTTGCCACAAAACGTTTTTGAACTTTGTGTCTACATGGGGGTTTTTCAAAAAATTCATGAGATATACATACTTCGAAAACATTGAATAGGTTTCACATTGTCAGGGCAGGCAAGTAGCAAAGATTATGTGATATTCCGACATTCTCTCTGAGTGAATCTCAGTTAAAAAGTGTTCATTATATATTTCCTCTGAAATAGTTGAGGATCTAAATAGGTATTTAGTTGGAGGCAAAAATGGAATTAATATTTTGTTTATTTTACCTCATAAGCTCAACATACATCTATCTTTAGTTAAAAAAATAGTTTAAATACCATGGGCCTCTTTTCTACAAGGCACTTAATTCTCTGAAAAAATGGTTGCTAGCAAGATCAAACAAGTGGAATGAAAGCGCTCAGTAGGATATCCAGCTTAACTATGTTATAAACATCTCAGGAATTCAGCCACAGAGTTTTCACAGTCTTCTTATAGTTTTACAAGGAGGAAACACTCATTCATTTAGTACCTTGTTCATGTACTTATTACGTGAATAATGGCCCTTTTGTCTGACGTCTAGCTAATGTCTCTGGCTCTCAATCATTTGCTGGCTTCTGTTCACAGCAACTTTTCCTCATCTCCTCCTTTTCTGCCCATATGTGCGTGTGTGTGTGTGTGTGTGTGTGTGTGTGTGTGTGTGTGTGCGCGCGCGTGTGCATGTACACAGTAATACACAGAGAGTAAGCTATTTAATTTAATGTCTTTTACTGGTCACTGATTTCTGTGTTCTTTAAGGGATCCTTCAGCTAATACAAAACAACATTATAGATTTGGCTGACATATTTTTCCTCTGAAGATGCTGATTCCTTGAGTCTGGCCCTGTGGCCAAGTACCTGAATTGCTTGCCTTGCATGGGCCAGGATGGCATATGAGTGGCTGTTTGTGTCCCAGCTGCCCCACTCCTCATCCAGTTCCCTGTTTGTAGTCTGGGAAAGCAGTAGAGGATGACCCAAGGGATCCTACACCCTAGGTCTTGGGACTTGAATCTTGGTACCCCAAAAAAGCTCTTGGGTCCTGGCTGTGCATCAGCTCAGCTCCAGCTGTTGTGGCTACTGGAGAGTGAACCAACAGACAAAAGACTTTTTCTCTCTATCTCTCGTTCTCTCTGTAAAGCTGGCTTCCCAATTAAAATGAATAAATTTTAGGGGAAAAAAAGAGATTAAAAAAAAGAATACTGATTCCTGAAGTGGTATAATCAACATGTGCTTCTGATGATGCTGTGCTCTATATCTCAGGTCATAAGGGCCAGATAAGGGAAACAACACATGTTCCTCTAAGACCATTCACTTTAAAAACAATTAGCTGTAAATTTTCTGTTTTTGTCAGAGAGGAATTCAGAACGTGGGAAAATGAAATTACAAGATAAGTTTGCTTTGATTCCAACAATTTTTAAAATCTGTGCACTTTAAAACATATATGTATATACATACACACATACGTATACATACATGTGTATATGTATATATGTGTGTATATATATCCTGACACAGTAGCCTAGTGACTAAAGTCCTTACCTTGAATGTGCCAGGATCCCATTGGGTGCCAGTTGTAATTCCCGCAGCCCCGGTTCCCATCCAGGTTGCTGCTTGTGGCCTGGGAAAGCAGTCAGGGAGGACCCAAAACCTTGGGACCCTGCACACACATGGGAGACCTGGAAGAGCTTCTGGCTTCTGGCTTCGGATCGGCTCAGCTCCAGCTGTTGCCTTCACTTGGGGAGTAAATCATTGGAGGGAAGATTTTCCTCTCTGTCTCTCCTCCTCTCTATATATGTATATATCTGACTTTGCAATAAGAAATAATAAATAAATCATATAAATCATATATATATATATACTCTCTCTCACACACACACATATATATATTATATATATATGTATTCTTCCAAATTTTGAAGACCCTCTGGTCTTATACTTTCTTTCATACATACGAAAGTGTAATCAGAGGTAATTTAATAATAATATAAGTAAACATAATATGGACAAGAAAAATAACATTTGTAAAGCACTTCTTACATGCAATTATTGCAGGTAGCTCATCCCATATTCTCATAGTTATTCCTTTTAGCAACGTATGTGTTATAGGCTGTCATCTTTATATTACAGACTAGGTTTAGAAAAATCAAGAACTAATCCAATGTTACACACATGTAGCTGGGAAAATCAGTACAGGAATTCAAACATGCAGCCTAATTCAAGATTCAAGGCAACTGAATTGTCTGTGTGTGAACAAGATCTTAATTTCTTAATGCCAATATGAAATGGACTCACTAAGCGATTTTCCATGAAAAGCAAATATTAAATGTCTCAACAGATGGCGTGTTAACTTGTTGTCTTATTCTGCCCTTTGGATATTTAAACTGTTGCTTCCTGCTTCAAAATCTGAGGAAAATCAAAGTTAGGAAAAGTACACAAGAAAGAGTAGCAAAATATTGGGCATCACAGCAGTAGGACACATTAAGGATATTCTTCCATAACGAAATAAAGAAGGGATCCTGCTTACCTCTAAGCTACTTTTTTAAAGAACATGAGTCTTGAAGAAAAATATTTATTAATGCCCTTCTTTGACATCTGTTGTATTATCTCTATCTCTATGTATCTGTGTATGGTAGTATTTCTTGTCATTGTAGAATCTAGGGACTATGCTCTTAGCTTTTCACCTTCTTTTTCATATTCAGAAAAGGATAATTTGTAACCAATGAGAGTGATTTGAAGCTTGATCATTGTTACTAGAAGTCAGCTGAACACTCCAGGACATAGCAGTTAGCAGCCTGTTTCCTAGGCTTCGGCCTACCCAATGATTCTCATAAATTCTAACAGTCATCAACAAAGATGGTACCTATGCAACTTGTCATTGATTTCTTACCATTTCCAGGTTTTACAATAGCTTATGGCGTCTTAGCTAGCTGAAGGCTCTGTTTGATTAAATTCTGCTCTTCTTTTTGTCTCTCTTTGGCTCGACTTATGACGGTGAATCCAGCCTGAAGGCCCAGCCTAGCAAGGTACATCTGTTGTGATTTATGCCATGTCGCCTTCTTGATGATTAACTTGAATAAATCATGCTGGTCTTTTCAGGCACTTGCATAGCTGCCCTTTATATACTTATCAGAGGTTAATCCATTTCGCCTATTGATCTTGTGAGGAAATTGGTACCTTGCAACAGGTATTCTACTGATAAACAATGAACACTACAAATAACTTACTAGCTCACTTTTAATCAATAGACTTTCTCAGGATACATTATTGTAGCAGTTAGCCTAAATCACTGTGTCTATTGCTGCTGTTTTCAAAACCTTTTAATCTAATTTGGAAATCTTCCTTTGTACAAGTAATAAACAGTCACTAAACTGTCTGCACCTAATTGAGCTATGGTAATTTATGGGAGTTCCCCACTGTTTTTCTCTCTCTTTAATCAGATAGACTGTTTTATGCCTTTAACTAATGAAATCTAAGAATACAGGCAGTAGATCTGATCACATGTCACCAGTGAGTAAATCTTCATTACAGCTGGCAGGTTCCAAACATGATCTACATGATGGTTGTGTTACTGTATCACAATTTTACTCTTGTCAGGTGACAAACACTTCTTTGCCATTCCTTCTGATGAAACCTTCTTCACTACATGTATTAGTAAACCCTGGGACCCATTGGCAGCACCCATGTGTGTTGGTGTTAGGAAGAGAAGCAGAGCTAAATTGATTACTTCATCACAGCCGTGTTAAGGGTGTGGCCTCTACAAATGCTGTGTCCGCTTTCCCTGCAACCTTTCTAGCTTCTGACCTTTCCTAATGAAAAAGCATGTTCCTATGCATTCACTCGTGGTGTTCAAACCCTGGAAAGAGAATATATGCTGCCCCAAATCAGAAAAGAACAATTGAGACACTGAAAGGTTTGTTAAGACATGCAAAATATTCCTAGAGTAGACCTTTAATCCAATAGAAATTTTCATGGGAAATCAAATTGATATCATAAATGCAAAATTCTAATGAAATTAGAAGACACTAAGTCTGGATGAGTGTCACAAATCTCATATGTGCCAATGACCAGCCAGGTCCCCTGGACGGATTCCGTGAGCTATGTTCACATTAAAGTGACAGTGAACTCGTTTGCTCCGACTGCTCCCTGCACAATGACTGTGAAGACATTTATTTTTAACGTTCCTTTTTTGGTTTCACCTGTTTCAATTTGAAGCATGCTCTTATGATGTTATTTATGTGATTCCGAAAGGGTATACCAAAACCAAATTACATGAATATACTAAAATGATAAACATAAATAGGTGCTAATAAGAGGAACTTCATCAAAACAAAAAGCAAACACATAACTGTTTAAGTGTTGAGTAAATAGTTAATAATATGTATAAGTATATACCATATGTCAAGCATTCTTCTAAAGGCTTTAGAAAAATTAACCTTTAAAACAACCCAAGAGGTCTTCCTCATTTGTTTCTTTTTTTGTCTCATAATTTATTTATTTTATGATACATTTCCATAGGCTCAATTCTTTCTTGTTTAAAAAATGTCTTTTCATGCTCCCTTCGGCAGCACATATACTAAAAAAGTTGGAACGATACAGAGAAGATTAGCATGGCACCTGTGCAAGGATGACACACTAATTTGTGAAGCGTTCCATATTTTTTGTTCTCAAAAAAAATGTCTTTTCCAGATGAAAATCTAAAATACAGAGAATTTAGGAAACATGCTAGAGTCATACAGGCAACAGATCAGAACTGAAGTTTCCTCAGAGAGATCCATCTCAATCTCAATCTGAGAGATTCCTCAGAGTGTTGATGCTTTTCATCTATACCATGTAATCATTTTGGACAACTGGTTCAGTTTATCTAAAGGAATGCCTGGTACTCTACCTTTCCAGTAACTTTCCAAGCAATGCTGGTACTCCTTTTTGAGGGCTACACTGTGGAAATCACTACAATGAAGTAACTGGCAAATATCCTGTCCAAAGAGAATTTCTGTGGGTAATCAAGCCATGTAAGGGATATGTGTCAGACGCTTTTATCAGATGCATATATCAAAGACATTTAAGAAAGCATCATCTAGTCTGAGTTACGATGTTACAAAGAATCTAAGAAGTATGCGATTCATTGAGATATACACACAGGTTTTCAGTTGATCTGCACTGGTCTTACACTGTCCTGGGATGATTTCCTTTTTCCAGAAATTATTACTGCCTTCAAGACAAATGCTTAATGGCAACATACTTCTTGTTGTTTTTTCACCTAATTCTCTTGCTGCATCATAATTGTCATCTAATATATTTGAGCCAATTTTCATTCTCTTAAGTCTGTCTCAATAGCATAGTTAGGATGGCTCTTTCGTAGAAGTTATCAAATGAGAAATAATCCTCATGAGTCACTGGGACCCCAGAGTGTTCAGTCTGGTGTAGAATCACTGAGTAGTTCATCTTTTCACCTTAGAACAGATGGAAGCAGCTAGAGTAAATGATAGACAGAAGGGGGGAACAGACTTCATTACACCTTCTCAGCTAATATTGACCTGGGAAAAATACAATGATTTCATAGTTTGTCCTAATAGCTGACACAGACTCCTTAATTAGAGATAATGTCAAAAAGGTGGCTATTCCAGAAAATACCTGCTCACCTACCATCTGCTCTTGATAAAGGTTTGGCAATTAAGGAAGGCAAAGAATAAGTTCTAATTACTTTCCTATCCTTGTATCTTGCTCCCATGATACCTGAATTGAAGCCCGCATGTGAATCACATCTTCTGTTTCACTCCAACTCCTTCTGCTTGAATATGCAGAAATTATCATAATTCTAGAGTTTTCCTCTGGGAAGGATCTTGTGGTTAAAAACATAATCTCACACCTCTCCACTTTTCTGTGGTCATTCATCCTACTTGAGCTGAATTGCTCAAGAGTGTGATATTGATAACGGTTATAAATTTAGTTAGCCAGGAATAACATTTGCCCACTTTTCTGATCCTCCTCTTGTCTAAATTGGAAGATGTAGTGAAAGTGACAGCTTTTCTTTTAAAGCTGTGCATATTGGTATAGTCAGATACATTGATATCACCTCTTATTTGAGAATTCACAGAAACAAATGTTAGAATCTATTTTCAGTGGGAAAATTGGGCATCCTGGGCCACCAAGTGAGAATCAAAAGGGAAGCATTATTTTGGATTGAATTTATGGTGGCTGAGTTGCTGGTTTTATAAGAACAAGAGCTTGCTTGTCCTCCTACTACATGATAAATAAATGACACTCATGAGAAGAGATTCACCTCACTGCACTGATCTGGAAAAGTACAAAGTAGTTGTTCCTTGAGTCGGTGATAAATCTCCACAAGTGGTGTCTGGAATCTACAGACAGTCCCCCAAATATCCGAGTTTATCAAAACTTATTTATATCCAGCATCTGTTCATTTTGTTCAGTGATTATTTTAGTAAAAGGCGGGGAACCAGATTTGGGTAATTTTCCACAATTTCACACAATCAAAAAGATGCAAGAAAATATAGACAATTATTCTTCATGAAGCACCTATTGTATCAAAACCATAGGCTGTCCTTGCTTGAGATAATTGTAAATCTTCCAACCTCTAAAAGTGGTTTGTTTTTGAAACTGGTAGACTACAACACAAATAATTTAATGTAAACAACTCAACACCTGGATTATCAGCATGTTTGCATTTATAATCAAGGAGCGTTCAAGCAATATTTCAGAATAAAAACTTGCAACCATTGAATTTTAGAATTAGGATTTTAGGATTATCTAATTCTATCAGTTTTCTGGCTTGGATATATGATGTATGCTTGGGTTAAAATGTGTGTACTTCAGCCCCATTTTGGGGATTCCTCATAATTTCCAAAAAGGACATGGAATGTATGTTTTGAACTTTTTCACAAATCATCCACATAGACAGCAGAGACCATCCACCATCAGGATGGTGGATTTAGTAGGAGAACATGGGTACCTCATATGACATCTTAGCTGCTGTTCTAAACACCTGCTTCTAAAAACTATGTGTTTAACATTATACCATGTTTTAAATGTGTGCTTTGATTTTCATGTGATCCAAATTTCTAGGATTAAGAATTAAAAGACAAAAACTTGACTTAATGAATTATAGGGAAGAGTCAAAATCAGATTCACAGGTGGTACAGGTTTTAAAATTTACAAACAGTTTTAAAAGGACAAATAGCTTGTGTTCTGTCTGATATAAGGTAATCCTCATTCAAAATATATAAGAAGTAGCTATGTAAGTAAACAAGTATATTCATATATTCCAGTAGATGAACTATACAATGGAGACTAGCAAACCAAGAAATGAAGGTATGTTGTATTGCACATCTCTATTCCTGACTGAAAGAAGGACTCTCAACGAATCAGTTAAACATATCTTGAAATTATGATATCAGATTTTCAACATAAGCCTAGTTCTACAATTGCCATGACACTTAAATAGCAGGATGTTAAACTTGCAACTGTTACTAAAGAACTATGCTACTGTGATAATAAGGGGGGAAATGATGGAAAGGGAAAATAGGAAGGGGAGAAGGGGAGGGAAAGAGGGGAATCCCTATACCTACAAAAACGTGTCCTGTGAAATAATAATAACAATCAAACAAACAACCAGAAAAAAAGAAACCTGCACAGACTTGTCACTATTAGAGCTATGTTGTATTTTCTAGAGAAAACCTCAGCATCATGAGGAAGCGATATAGAGGGATAGAAACTGTAGAAAAGAATAAAATGGAATTCGTAGGGTTAATAAATATGTGATACAAAAGTTGAAGAATTTATTTTATGAGCTAATGTGATCTGGGTATACATGAGGAAGTATGTAATAAAATGGGCCTGACTTCAGTGGAACTTAAGAAAACTGAAATTTCTGAGCACAAATGTCAAAAAGTTCTTCAAGGAATATTAGCAAATCAAATCAAGGAAAACACAAATACATAATACATCACGATTAAACATAGTTTGTCTCAATGACGTGTGTTAAGTAATAAAATTTTTACCAGTTTAATTCACTGTTTTAAGAAGATTGCAAAATAACTTCAGAAAAATTACAGGAGGAATTTGATACAATTCAGTACCTCTTTTAAGAAGAGTTTTCAGCAAATGAGAAGCTAAAGGGAATTTTCTTAGTATAATTTGATGTGTTTATGAAAAACCTATAACCAACATTATATATAATATGTATTTATATTATTTATCAATATTCAACATTGTTTTCTGATATTAAATTATTTATTAATTGTTAAAAATATTAGTTAATTTTTTATGAATCCTGCCTTTACGATTTGGAGTAATACAGGATATCAATTCTGGCCTCTATGGAACAACCTAAGGCTGTTCCATATCCGTTTATGGAATCACAGTTCATACCAAGTAAAGTCAGGGGTTCTTCTCCAGAGATGTCCAGACCTTGACTTACTTTTCTCCATCCTTTGTTTTCCTCTCCAATTGCATTTTCAGCTTAACCACATATAGTGATAGTCACTAGCTTTTATCCTACAAGTTCCCAAGATTTCATTTATTTTACTGATTGGGAGTCCTTCATGTATCAGCACTGTGTTAGGTAATAGAATATTATTTACAAATGTCCTTAAAGAACATATAGACAGGTAGAGGGGGTAAGAATAATGAGCAGGAATTTATAGTAATGGTTGGCACATGCTACTTCAGAGATAAGAACAGAAGCATAAAGCTGGACAGCTTCCTTTTTTGAAATTTATTTTTATTGTTTTTCATGATACTCTTTTGTAGGTATAGGAATTCCCCTCCTCATTTCCAGGAGCATGTGAATATAAGCTGTCTCATTGGACTGCCAGCCAGTTGGGAAGTCCCAAATTACAAGCACATAACCTGTTGTAAATAGAGGAATTTCCCAGAGACTCTATGTATATATATATATATATTTTTTTTACTTATTAGCAAAAATCAGAGAACCTAATGGGAAGTATGTTTACTGATTTCCATTTCTTAATAAGGCAGTATGAATCCACCTCATCCCAGCCAGGATTCATGGTGGAGTGGAGTACATGGTCGTGATTTCACCCTGCATTTGTGTGGGACCACTGTGCCAGTTAACTACTCCTGATTTTCATTCTGTTCTATTCTGGAGCTACTTAACCTACCCATAATTCTGTTTATCCACTATTCCAAATCGTTGAGATAATGAACAGAAACTGATATCCTTGCCTGTTAGCACAGGAAAAGACATTTTGACAGAAGGAAAGGCAAATGCAGTTTTTAAGAGGATAGAGTGTGGTTTTCTTAGGGAACAGTACTTGCCTCAGAATGACTGCAATTTACATACCAGATGCAGGAAGAAAAGGGGGTGGGGGTAGGATGGAGCCATGGAGAGAAGCAGAGGCCAGGTCCTGAAAGGGGCTAGATCTCTCAGGAGAATTTACGCTTTGATTTCCCCTTGGCCTGTGCAGAACCGTCAAAGGGTTTTAAGAAGGGAGTTGTGTCATTGCATGATTCACCTTCATTTTATGAAATATTACTCTACAGACAATGTCAAAAGTGAACTTAAGGGGGCAAGCTAGGAGTCTTGGAAACCATTTAGGAAATTGTTACCATAGTAGACTGCTAAATGATGATGGCATAATTCAAGCTGCTGGTGCTGGGGTGGAGAGAAAAGGACTGAT